TGAGAAAAACACGACAAAACGAATCTGGTGAAAAATAGGGGACAAGAACAGACGCATTTTGGGGGAAAGCCAATTTAGAGAACCCTTCTTTTCCCTCCAGAGAATCCTCTTCACTTTTGACCCCATTTTTTTTGCATGAGCCTTGCAAATGCAAAAGTGAAAGTAAATGAAAACAAAATGTAAATAGCTTTTTTTGAAGCTAGACTTGATTGATTCTTTAATTTATAGAAAAGGATTTGAGAATGAAGAAATTGCAGACTTTAATTCAAAATCTTTTAAAGTAGTTTCTAGTCGAATTTCCTCAAAGCATTAAGCTTTATCTTGTGAGATTTTGTAAGAAAATAGACTTTGATATCAAAATATTTCAATGTTCAGATAGTATTCACAACGCCTCTTCCAAAGTTTTATCTGTTTAACAAGTTACAGATATCCCTTTTGGGTATAAGTATCCCTTTTGGCTTGTTCCGTAAAAAGTAATTCAGATTAGCTCTCTTTAACCTTTTAACTAGAAGCTTTAACTATAAGCTTTAACTTCCTATCCAGCTTTCAAAGTACAGCTTGCAAAGTACTAATTGGAGAGTTGATCAATGTGCGGCTTGACTTGGAAACCATGCATTGATTTGATCCACCCAAAAGTTGACTAGAGTTGCTTCCACTAGAGTTGATCCACCCAAAAGTTGACTAGAGTTGCTTCCACTAGAGTTGATCCACTCAAAAGTTGACTAGAGTTGATTCCACTAGAGTTGATCCACTCAAAAGTTGACTAGAGTTGATTCACCCAAAAGCCAGGCTTTTATCTTCAAATGAAAGTTAATAACAATGACATTAACTTTTTCCAAATTCATCTTTAATCTAGTGAGCATAAAAGAAGTAAAAAAGATTTATAATAGTATCAATCAGTTTTGATCGAGAGTTGACACCTTGCCGATAACTGTAACGTTTAGCTCCGCATACTGCATTGAGACAAAGCTACAAAGTAATACAAAGACAAAGGCAAAGACAAAGTAATACTTTTTACAGCACATTTTTTCCTACAGTTTGATTCGTAAGATTAGAGAAATTCTGATCATTCAATTTTGTGATTTCCTATAAATTTTTGATCAAAGAAACACCCGGACCCATTCAAAAAGGTCACTAAAACAAACACTAAAGATCTCCCTGTGAAAGACTAAAATCTAGTCTTTTCTGCACTTAGTGAATAGAGAGAATTCCTCGTCAAATTCCTCTTCCATTCATTTCTCAATTTCCTTCACAAACCGTTCCTTTTTATGTTTTTGAGAAAAGAGAAAAGGAACTCTAAACTCAAATCACAAAAAAATTCGACAAACAATAAAAAGGCAACTTCTTTTCACCGAGATAGATTTGAAAATTTGAGTCATGATAAATATTTGTGAGTGGATCGGGAATCAGGAAAAAATTGAAGGAGACACTTGAGATGAACTGATCGAAGATCATTCACAAATAAAGGTATTTTGCTAGACTAGAGTGTTTGTTTGGGGGGAAATTGTCAAGAAATCGCTTCGAAATTCGTACTTATTTTCGTTTAGTATTTACAGAGGCTGACAGTTGAAATTTGGTTTGTTCCTTGTGCATAAAACGCTTTTCTAAACTAGTGCATAACTTGGAAATTTCTTGTGATCTTTCCTCGTTTATTCGATTCTTAAAAGGTGGATAATTTGGAAAGTTGAAAGGTTTTTGCTGAATTTTCTATTGGGAAATGGTCGAGAGCCTATATTCATACTTATCATTGTACCGTATCGAAAATGACTGCATTTAAGCTCTTCCCTATCAAAAGTTTATGAAATCTAAGAAATCTAAGAAACATTTCCTGTTTTGATCGAAAGAAAACTTGTTTTGATTCAAAAAAAATCGTACGAGGCACCACCAACGAAAGAAGTGATTGAAGGAAAGGAAAGGAACCCTTTTGGCCTTGAAAAGATTCTTTTGACACTAATTTGAATAAAGAGATGTGCTCTTTGAGACTTGGATACATTTTTAAAAAGAAATTTTGAGAGATATTTACCGTATTTTCTCTAATAGTAGTGCAGCCTGAGCGGCGCCTAAATTCCTCGAAATCACGAGAACCGTTTATCAGAACTTATCGATGTGGGGTTGGAAAATGTAGCTGACGATGAGATCTAGTGGGGGATTTGAGTGTTGAGCTTCTGGGAAAGCTTGGAAACCGTAAAGTAGGCATCAACTCAACGCAAAATAGGCGCAAAACTTTGAAAGCCGTAAAATGTCATCAACTCGGCTCGTGCATTGAAAACACGGTACTTACAGAGCTACAGACTTACTTACAGAGTAAGCCTGAGTCTAAGCCTGAGCCTAAGCCTGAGCTTTGCCTAAAATCCTCGAAATCTCGAGAACCGTTTATCCGAACCTATCGATGTTGGGTCGGAAAATGTAGCTGGCGATGAGATCTTGTGGCTGATTAGCTGTTTGATTTTTGATGAATTACTGGTTTTGAACAATTGCGCGGAATAGATTGTCTTCAAATTTTGAAGGATTCTAAGATTTCTTAAGTAGATTTCCCAGTAAACGATTCATTTTCTAAAAAGTAGATAATTTGGAAAACTATCGTAATCTTTACCCCAGTTTTCTTCCGTTCTCCGTTTGATTTTATTCGATTTCTAGTTTGATTCTAATGAAATCAAATATGAGTACCGTATTTTCTCTAATAGCACCCAGAGCGTCGTCTAAATTGATCGAAATCTCGGGAACCGCTTCTCAGAACCTATCAATGTGGGGTTGGAAAATGTAGCTGACGATGAGATCTAGTGGGGGATTTGAGTGTTGAGCTTCTGCAAAAGCTTCGAAACTGTAAAATAGTCACCAACTCCGCTCGCCGGGGTGCACTACGATTAGAGAAAATATGGTATACTAAAGTAAGCAAATCCCAATAGCAGCTGGACTTCCAGAGATTTAGAAAGAGAATGGTGAAAAAGGTGTCATCACGTTTACATCAACCAAATAATTTTTTTGTTTGATTTAATAAATTCTACTCTTTTCCTATATCTATCAACTATTTTATTCAATAATTGTCAAAATCTCGGAAATTCTCTTGTCCCTCTACTTCCTCAATAGATACCGTATTTTCTCTAATAGTAGTGCATCTTGAGCGTTGCCTAAATTCTTCGAAATCTCGAGAACCGCTTCCCAGAACCTATCAATGTGGGGTTGGAAAATGTAGCTGACGATGAGATCTAGTGGGAGATTAAAGAGTTGAGCATCTGCAAAAGCTTCGAAACCGTCAAATAGTCATCAACTCGGCGGGGTGCACAACTATTAGAGAAAATACGGTATTCAAAAATTTAATGATGCTCAAAAAGCACAAAATTTACAACTTTTGCTTGAATGGAGACGCACAGAGCAGTTGCTGATGAAGAAAATGATTTCAAAAAAACTATTAATCATAAGATTATTTTTGATTTTATATTCTATATTATCTTACTTTTGAGTCAAAGAAATTTTCTTTATCTCTCAAAGTTTTTCTCCAAAAATTGCACTTTAACGGTCCTTTTTAGAGTGTGTTCTTTCCTAAAAAAAGAGATTTTGTTAAATAAAAAAGATTTTAAACAAACAAAATAACGAAATAACCAAGGATTTCAGTGTAAAAAATGATTTTTTTTGAAAAACCTGCGCAAAAAATTGCTTTTATATTTTGTTTCGCGCAGGCGCGCCTTTTTAGAAAACACATTACTCGACAATTACTCATGCAAATTTACTCGAGTAATTACTTACTCGCAAAGAACACACTCTAGTCCTTTTGGATCCTCACAAAAACATAGCTTGTTCAATAGCTTTCTCTATTCTGATCGATTTTCATTTTGAAAGCCGATCGCAGTCTTAGCTCAATAAAAACCTTTTGTTCTAGACCATTCTAGATACAGAATTTCATGCTGATCCCGAATCTGCTTTCCGTTTTTCTTGCTCTCTATCAAAAGTTATAAACATTTTAAATTTGTAGCCAAAAAATGAAAAAATCAAATGAGATTCCCGCATAAGAATAGAGAGAAGGCCTTCAGTACCAGCCGAATGTGGACTGGCGGCGCAGTGGATAGAGGACTTATAGTTTAGATCTTCTATCCGAAACGATTCCCTCAGTCTTCTGCTTGGGTTCAATGCCATCTTTTCTTTTTTTTCTTATTTTGATGTTTCAACATTTAAACTTGTTTTATTTTTATATTTCAGGAGGTAATCTTTTTCCAGAGATTCATTAACTTTTCTTATACAAACATGAAAGTTTCATTGATTAAATTGGATGCAATCAGCACAAAGAAGTCATTAATGAAGTCAAATTTCTAGATTCGTTTAAAGTCAAATTTCTTTTTCCACATTTAAAAGCCATAGCTGTTTTGCTAGCCTCTTTTTCCCTTTTATACAGTTCTTCGGAAAATATTCACGTAATTTTTGATATCTTTTGATTGAGCGGTAGATCTTTTCGATGCGTTTTTAAAACAATTAAATAAATATGTTCATTAAATTCATTAAATATGTAATTTTTATGGAGAAATTTGGTAGATTAAAAGAGATTTTCAGCCTCTCGGACTTCAACCCAATCAATCATTTCAATCTTCAACTCCATTTGTAGCAATGAAAGGGGAAATTGAACGAAATCGGAACGCCAGCTCATCTATTTCATCGGCACGGAACATCGGAACGCCAGCTCATCTATTTCATTTCATTCTAATGGCCATTTCTTGATCCAATGAGTATACCTAGTTGACACTAAACGCTTAAACCGGTGGCCCAAATAGAAACTCAAACCATTTAATACCATTTTTATTCAGTTAATACTTTTCCTTGCCATCTATAATCTTGCTTTATTGCATAGCTTTATGACTAACGAAAAGAAATCACAAAAAAATGAATTGCACTTGAATGAGAGGAAATGACACCATATTTGGCGATATGAGCAGAAAAGATTGTAAAAATGTGAAAGATGATTTTAGTCAGATACTGAGATTGCACAAGGTATAAAGAAATAATAGAAACTAACAATTGAGAGTACAATATCTGAAGAATGGCCCGGTGCATTGAGCTGAATCTTTTGCGAGACATTCCCGGGACTCGAATCCGATCATTTCACCGTTGTTGCATGGTTGGCCGGAAGCGAATTGCTGAAAATTCGGTTTTTTTAGGTAACTTAAGAATTTGGAACACTGTTCGCAGTTGTTCTTAATCGCGATAAGTTGTGCAAAGTTCTTAAAGCTCAGGCTATCACCTTCTGATTCTATTATTATTAAAGGATTAATCAGCTTTTAGGCCAGTTTCAACCTTGAGTCTCTCGGCTTGTCTTGTTTTAACGGGATGTGGAAATTGTGAAGGAGATCTAGCCAAAGCTGGGGGAGAAATTGGTCCCAAAGATTTCACACAGTGGCCCCTAGTAACCTAACGCCTAGTCACCGCTCCGTCGACGTTACCGATTTCAAAAGGAACAGCTATCTATCGGAAAGGTGTGCCAGATCGTAAGCGATTACGCAACCGCACAAAGAACAAGGTATTTACAGGAATTTCTCTTTTCCTTTATAGATAACAATAGAGAAGAAATTGAGCTGTAAATTTGTATCCTGGGGTTTTCATGGTCGGGGAATCGATTGAGGCTACTCATTTTATTGAGTCAACCAATTGAAACTCGGGTTTAACTCTAAACTAGCTCACTTCTTTACAAAAAACACATTGATCATGAATAATTTGTTAAGAAAAAGTGTTTTTACCTGGCAAACTCCTAGCCACGGACTCCATACTGATGGCTGATCATCGGCTGGAGGAAGGGGGACTGGTTGAGCTCCTGAAAAAACCAAAACAGTTTAAATCTTTTAAAACTGTTAAATGAATTGAATGTTTCAAAAAATGGATTTACCTTGATCTTGAAAATCGTCTCTGTCACTCGGCTCGGCGACAATTGATCTCACGGACTCAAGTGGTGGTTGATCTAAATGTTCTTCCAATTTATAACTGTTTATTGCTTTTATGAACTTAAAATTTGATAAAACCTTACCGTAATCTTCTGGACTCATGACGGGAGTGGTGACTGCAGGACAGTTCTCAACTTGCATCAAAGCACCCAAGCATCTGAATCATCTTTTATGAGAGAAAGCTTTCTTTACAAGTTTACACTACTGGACAATGAAATATGATATTTGAAAAACGATCGTCACGTTCGCACGTCTGTAACTTCCTTGTCTTTGAGTTTAAACTGTTAGTGTTTTACATTTTCTGAAAGCTCTTTTCAATGGCTACACAATGGTAATATTAATATTTAGAAATAAAGACAAGGGTAAGGAATGGCTAAGAAAGATTCCTGGAGAGGGGATTCAATCTACGACCTTTCCTTTTCTTTTTTCTCGGCAAATGCTCTAACCATTGAACTATCCGGTATCTTCTTGCCAGAAAAGAAAGAGGAAATACAAGCGAGAAGAGAAAGGAAGAAAGAGAAGGAAATAGGTAAGAGAAAGATAGAATCTCTGAGCAAACGAAGTCACTAGAATAAAGACTACAAGGTGAATAAAAATGAAGCTATATATAATCCAAATTTAAGCCATTAGTTCATTGCGTGAAGCATTTAAAGCTATTACTAAATTCTCACATCTTAATCAGTGCTACAGTACTGGACAATGAAATATGATATTTGAAAAACGATCGTCACTGTAATCTGTAACTCCCTTGTCTTTGAGTTTAAACTATTAGTGTTATACATTTTCTGAAAGCTCTTTTCAATGGCTACACAATGGTAATGTTAATTTTTAGAAATACGGTAAAGACAAGGGAGTTACAGACGCGCGAAAGTGCGAAAGTGTTTTTTCAAATATGATATTTCATTGTCCAGTAGTGTACATAATAAATCTCATCTTCATTTTACAAATACCTTCTTAAATCCAAACATTTTCTTCTTCTCACTCGTCTCTCTCCAGATTTTGTGCATGGAGTCCAATCAGACCACTCGGAAAAGAGAGATGATGGATCAGCCTGTAAAAAGATCAAAAAAATATCTTTTTTCTAAGACTTCTAAAGTTTATATATCTTAAAATCTAATCGATATCTATCTAATCTCTTAAAACTTACCGGAACCTCGGTAGATTTGATGAATGGATGTCGCGTTGATTCATCCTAGAAATCATTCTGATTGAATTCTGATTTATGAAAAATGAATAAAAGACTAAAAATCTAATCTAATAATTGAAGATTCATCTAATTTAAATGACCTCTGTAGCTTGAATGGATGGAATAACATTGACTGGCTCTTCTTCATCATCTTCTCCTCCATTATCCCCCATTACATCATCATCTTCGTCTTGATCGATCACATTCTTAGCTGATTCCTTTTGACGTTCCATTTCCTTTTGTTTCTTCTAAAAACGTTTGATTATGTGGAACAATTTGTTTGACATTTGAGACTAACCTTTCTGTCCTCTTTGTAAGCAGTCACCGTTTTACTCGCAAATTCTCGAGCCGGCTTCTTGAACTTTAACGTCTTCGTATTCTCGTTTGACTGAAAATTTGATTTTTAACTTTATAAGCTGAGTTAAAGTTGCTTCAAAGCGCTTACATGTTTCTTGCTTGCTTTCGTTGTTGTTTCTTCTTCAGTTTCCATCTCATAAGATCTCTCTCCATCATCCAATAGCGCATCTTGATCATCTTGATCTTCTGACTCAACAATAGTCGTTGTTTCATCATCTAAAAAGAAATGTAATGAGGAAAATGAGTACTGAGAAAGAAAATGAGGAAGTTTTGTGCTTAATCTATATAATATTTTATGTGAAAAATGAATAAACTGGTGCTGAAAGTGTTTGTGAATTCGAGAACTAGATACAGTACTGGACAATGAAATATCATATTCGCGCGTCTGTAACTCCCTTGTCTTTACCATATTTCTAAATATTAATATTACCATTGTGTAGCCGTTGAAAAGAGCTTTCAGAAATTGTATAACACTAATAGTTTAAACTCAAAGACAAGGGAGTTACAGATGCGCGAAAGTGACGATCGTTTTTCAAATATCATATTTCATTGTCCAGTACTGTACACTTTCTACACTATTCCTTCAAGAAAATCTTTGAGATTCAAGATCATTCTTATCATGACCGCAAAAGTGTAGAAAGTGTACGGTTGTAAGCCTTTATAATTTCTCATAATCTGTTTGTGATTTTAAACGATTTTAAATGATTATCATTCCTACACTACTGGACAATGAAATATGATATTTGAAAAAAGATCGTCACTTTCGCGCGTCTGTAACTCCCTTGTCTTTGAGTTTAAACTATTAGTGTTATACATTTTTGAAAGCTCTTTTCAAGAGCTACAAAATGGCAATATTAATATTTAGAAATACGGTAAATAGAAGGGAGTTATAGACGCGCGAAAGTGATGATCTTTTTTCAAATATCATATTTCATTGTCCAGTAGTGTAGGAATGATAATCGTTTAAAATCGTTTAAAATCACAAACAGATTATGAGAAATTATAAAGGCTTATGGAAGTCCGTATTCTTTTTGAAATTTTCTATTTCTTCTTGGAGGTCAGTCTTCTTACTGAAACTGCCAGATAGACTCAATTGAGAGCTTAAAGTTGTTTTGTTCATTTCGAAGTATTTTAAGTTTTTCAACTATGGATTAAGTATTACTAGGTTAAACTTTAAGTTTTAAACAAAAGCCAAATGAGTGCATGCCTGTTTGTTCACTATCGGGTGCTTGTGTGGTGGTTGTGATCTCTTTTTGTGCCATCTTCGGGAATTTCTTTGCTCTCGCCGGTTTCGCAGTCGTCTTTTCCTCATTTTCCTCGTTTTTCTCTTGATCCACTTCGTCATCATACTCATCTCCGATCATTTCCTTTCCATCATCTTGCTCTTTTTCATTTTCTTCTTTCTCTTCAGATTTCCCGATCTCTTCAGTGTTTTCGGTGCTTGTGCTCAGCTCAGATTTGCCGATTTTTGTGGATTTTTTCGTTTTCTCACCCGATTTCCTTGCCCGATCCCTCTCCAGAGCTCTTTTCCTCTTCTAAAAAGAATAGAAAACTCTCACGTCACACTAGATTTCTTTACAAATTTGATAGTCTAATTTGATTGCTTTGAAAAAGTGATTTTTAACAAAAGAATAGTGGTGAAAAGTAACTCAAAACTTCAAGACAAAACTAATCTGCTTTGAAAAAAAAAGATTGCTTTTTCTAAAAATTAGAAACCTTACCGTACTCGTCTCCCTTCATCTCGTGGCTTTCCTTTTTCGTCGTCGGCTTGGGTTCTTCTGTAAGATAAGGAACAACTGTTGCAACAGATACTACTGTAGTCAATGTGTGAACAACGTTCAACGTTTGCTCGAAATAGTACGTCTAGGCAAAGGTAGCCGTGGCTACTTTTTTAACTAACTCGATTCTACTGCAATAGTATTTAGCAATCCGGCTTTCGGATGGAGAAATTGTAGAAATGAGAGGTTTTTTTATAAGTTGAAATTGCGCAAGTTATCTTTGATGCCACTAGATTTCTCTTCTAGATAAATTTCGCAATAATTTTCCCTTTACAAACCCGGTTGAGTCTCAATGGGATTCTTGAAAGTCTTCACATTTGTCGACTTTTTCATCGCGCATCCATTGCTGAAGTAGATCACCTGGAAAGAAATTGTTCTTTTGTTTTAAATTCGAGAATTTGAGCTTATGAACAATTCAATTTGAGCTTATGAACAATAAGATTTTAGGCTCTTACCGGATGACTTAAAGGGATACCTTACTTCAAATCTTTTAGCTATATCTATGTTTTCAGTTTTTTGTTCAAAGAAATGGGGAAATTTTTAAATGGCTGGGTCCGGCTGACTGCAATTTGTAACGCAAAGCAGCCAAATTTGGGTAAAAATTGATCCCAGGAGTTTGGGCATAGACTGGCTTACTCGCTGAACGCTTTTCCGCCTTTACAGATTCAAAAAGAGCCTTTACAGATAGCGAGCGATTAAGCGATCGCACAAATACAGTTATTTATTTCTCTTTTGCTTTGTAGATGATACAAAAGAGAAGCAATTTAGCTGTAAATTTGTACCCTGGGGTTTTTAGGGTCGGGGAATCGATTGGAGCTACTGTATTCTCTCTAATAGTTGTGCGCACTACTATTTTGTCAACCCCCTCCTGGACCGCATTAGAGAGTGCACTACTATTTGAGAGAATACGGTATTCATTTTGTTGGGTCTGCCAATTCTCATCTCCAATCTCAAATAAGATCACAATAGATTAGTCGAACTAGAAATTCTGAAGCTTTTTTTTTGTTCTATGCTTGATATAATAAGCTTGTGAGCATAAATCTTTGAACAGATTACTGCAATCTCTTCTACTACATGTCCTTTTCATGTTCTGTCATTCAGAAGTGCTACAAATTCTAGCTAGTCCAGTCAAAGGTTCTTTTTAAATCATCCGATTTTTAAGTTATCCTGTAATCGAAGAGAGCCAAATAATAGCTCCATGCTTCATTTTTATTACAGAAAATAGAATTCTGTCATGTCCACCTTTTAATCCATTGCTTTCTTCTCCGCACTCACCTTTTCAGTGTCCTCTTTTGTAAAAGAGGCTGGACGGCTCATTGCCGATTCGGTATTTGTGATGCATTCACCTTCTTCATAAAAGTACATGGCTGACTAAAAAATCGAATCATAAACTTAGTTAAATGGAAAGTAGGCTTAAAAATCAATGGTAGTATCAAAGTGTTTGCTTTTGCTTACATAACCCATTAGGTTATGTCAGCAAAATAGTGAATAGTTGCAGTGACTGGTTTGGCTAAAAGTTAACGAGAGTCTCTTCTTTTCAAGCGCTTAAAATATTGAAAATCGATCTTAAAACCCACCATGCATTGCACATTCCTCACACACAAAGCCACACACTCTTCCAGAGATTCACTCAATGTGACATTTGTGGCAAAACCGACAAGAACCGAGTCGTCAGCACGGGTGAATTGAGCTTCTTGGCAATCCATTGGAATGTCATCTGTAAATTTATAGATTTTAAGCCATTTTCTAGAGCTTTTTTAGAGCTTTTTAAGATCTTTTCTAGAGCTTTTAGTTATTTTCTTCGATGCCACTGAAAAATGAAAAGATTTGACCGGCTCTGAGTTGACAGAAAAGTGCATTCAAAGGCAATAATGACCTTACTTCAAAAGGGAAGAAAATCCGGACTACGATTCGCGAAAAGTACCACTCTATTTTACTCACAAAGTTCAGAAATTTGAAAAAAAGAACAAAGATCTAAAGTTACTAGAAGATTTTGAAGAATCTTCTAATGTTTTCTATAACTCTAAACTTTTAAAAAACCAACCAGTCAAGCAAAATTTCTCGAAATATCTCTTCCCAGCCGCTGCCGTTTTCTCTCCATTTCCCATTGGTTTGCTTTTATCTTTGTAAATTGTACAAGTGAAAACAACATGATCATAGACAAAGGAAGAGCAAAGAATTGAACGACCGAATGGATCCTGAAAGTATGCTAATAAATTTTACAGAACTAAACATAAATTTTGTAAAAAAATCAACAAGAAATTTTACCCGATTGTTTGAGCAAGTGCTCATGCATTCCTCTTCACTGAAATCTTTATAGACAACATTATCTCCGGCAGTCATTTGAGTGTTGTCGACGACGAAAAACGCCGAAGCTTTACCCTCACAGATTGCTGAAAAGAGATCAATGTTTATACTTTAGTGTTAAGCTAGAAAGATAGCTGTAATTTCAAGTTAAACGATAAACTTTACTTCAAAAGCTTTCCTTGTATGCATGGAAAATAACAGGGATTTGTCTTGGTGTTGAACGTTTTGCAATTTTAATTTTTTAATATTTAAAATATGAGATTAAAGAGTAGATTTTTCAATTTAACCAGATCTTTTTTTAAAGATAAATAAGAAAGTACTAGTTTTTTTAAAAGAAAAGATTCTTAAAAAGCACTAAGAAAGGTTTTGCTTTGAATTGACTGACTTTGAAACAGTTTCGCTGTTTCAAATGGGTTTTCCGCTTAAGAAACCATTTTTCTTGACCCCAATTTGAATCGAATAAATGAAAACATTGATCTTCTAGCAACCTATCGATTCTTTCTTCACAGCTTATCGTAAATTTTGGAGTTCTTAAGAAAACATGATGTCTCGATTGGGGAAAAAAAACGAGAAACCGTTCACTTTTCACTTGGTTGTCAAAAAGGAAAGCCTGTTTTTTTTGTGATGTCCTTTAGGAAAAGAAAATCAGAGGAAAATCCATTTCTACGCCAATCAAAGACTTCTTTTTAAGAAAAGAACTACATAAAGAGATTCATAGGGTCGAGATTTACAGAAAAAAAAAGTATGAGAAAAGGAAAGATCTAGTCATTTTCAACGTTTCGATTTGATTGTTGAGTGAAAGGAGGGGGAAAATGCAATTAGCGAAAGAATTAGATCAGTAGTTGAAGACTTTTTTTTTTTGATATATTGATTTAGAAAATTGCAAGTTTCATAAAGAAAAGTAGAAATTGGATTATTTTTAGCAAGTTTCATAGCTTTGACACGTTTTCATAAAGCTTGTGATTTTGAGTTATCGGTAAATACTTTACGTCAGAGCTATTGGCAAAAGATATTACCTTTTCTTCTACCTCTACCTTTCTTCTAGTATTACCTCTTTTCCCTTATCACGTTAAGCTTCACGGACAGTATTTGACAGTTACATTTTACCATAAATTTAGTCAATGTTTAGTTAGCCAATGTTAGTTAGCCAATGTTTAGTTAGCCAGGTAAGTTAGCCAATGTTTAGTTAGCCAATCTAATGTTAAGTTAACCTTTCTTCTAGTATTACCTCTTTTCCCTTACCACATTAAACTGTACGGATAGTTAGTTAGTTAGCCTCAATTCAAGTAATCAAAGATCTTTAAAGCTAGACAAAACTAAAGAAAGTTAAGTAGTATATAACGTTTTTTTTTCAAGCATGAGCCATTTTATCATTCTTTTTGAATCCTCAAGCTCTCAGATATGAGAATAAAACTGCTTTTTTAACAAAAATCGAAGTTTCCTGACTTACCTCCACTATTGATCATCATTTTGCCTTGAGGAGCTGCCAATGCTGTAGCCAAGCATAGGCCAAATATTAAAAGTTTCATTGTTGTTGAAAAGAATCTGGATATCGTGTAGAAAAGAGAAAAGGAGGGGAGAGATCTCTTGGATGAATCGCCTCAAATCTCTGGATGGGATTGAGAGAGGGGCGGAGTCAATCTCTCTCTCTCTCTCTTCCTTTCTCAAAACCATTCTTCTGACTTTAAGCTAAAATATGGCATCCACTGCCTGGTGAATTATGTGTGTACATTTGGGGAGAATTTCCTCTAAATGTCTCTTTGAGAAACAGGCTTGATAGCACTCTGATTTGTTGGGATTTTGGTAATAAAAATTCTTGGACGAGATTAGGTTAACTGCAGATAAAGGAAATCTAATTTTTAAGTAACAGTATCCAGATATTTAAATAGTAAAAATCTGTATGAATCCAGTAAATTTATAATTTTAAATGGTTGTCAGAGACTATTTTAACCCTTTGTCTCAAGAAAAGTTCCAAGGGAATCGAATCGGCTTCGGGTTTTGCATATAATAGCTTTTCACAATGAAAAGACCCCTATTTTTTCTCCAGGAAAAGATCCAGGAAACATATCATATCAATCTTATTTTAGATTAGATCTCAGATCTTTCAAAAGTCATCAAAATCTTTGCACCAAAAGCACAGATTGATTAACCGAATCAGCTTCACAAATAGGAAAAAGCGAACTACAGTACTGGACAATGAAATATGATATTTGAAAAACGATCGTCACGTTCGCACGTCTGTAACTTCCTTGTCTTTGAGTTTAAACTATTAGGGTTATACATTTTCTGAACTATCTGAACTATTTCTGAACTATACAAACTATTAGGATTATACATTTCTACATTATACATTAAAGCTCTTTTCAAGGTAATATTAATGGTAATACGGTAAATGGTAATATTAATATTTAGAAATACCGTATTTTTTTGACGCATTTCAGCGCGCGCGAAAGTGACGATCGTTTCTCAAATATGATATTTCATTGTCCAGTACTGTAAAAGCTTTTCACAATGAAAATACCCGAATTTTTTTCAAAAGACCCTAGCTCTCAGATGTAGAATAAAACTGCTTTTTAGCGTTGAATAAACTATTATTATTTCCGAGAAGAATCCTAATCTCTCTTGGGTATTTTTCTATAATATTGCAGAAATTACGATAACATATCTAACTCCTGCTTTACCAAACTTTAAAAGAAACCCGATCCACCAAACTCTCACTGTGCATTTCCCTCTCCAGCTCAACTTTCTAAAATCAGATATTTCAAGAGAATCTAGAAAATCTCGAGTCTAAAAAACTGCAAGTTTTCCTTTTGTGAAAAGATTCATTTCATTAGGGCAGCCCGGAAAACCGGCTTCGCTCACCCGTTTTTCTCGATGCCCGATTGCATAAGGAAAAAGGAAAAGAATGGCTCTCTTTAGGCAAAAATCTCGATCCCTTCTTCTTATTGCCTTGAAAATGACCCTCATTTTTCTGTTTTTTTTTTATGAAATGCCTTTATCAGGAGCGAGTTTTGCGCGCCAATTGGGTGACGAGACCATATTTTTGAGGACAGGTTTTGGCTGATGGGAAAAGAATGGCTCAGATCTTCTTGATATCGCTCTTGATAAAAGGATTTTAAATGGAAATTGATTGGGTAGAATAATGATAATGAATAGGTTCGAATAGGTTCATAATTGTTTGAGCTGACAATTGTGGGAATTAGAAGTAAAAGGCTCGAGGCCTATGTGTCTTTGCCTGCGCTTTAATAAACACATGCTTCCTCGCTTCCACTCAGAATCTCAAAGAGTCCTAAATGAGGAAATCAATGTGCCAGGAGGTGTTTGTTTACTAAAGACCAAAATAGCAAGCAATTTTTGTTAATTTAACTCTAAACTGGCTAGAGGAAGGTTGATTTAATCCTAATTTGATTTAACCAGTCTACTGTAGCCTGCAGTAGTCTACTGTAGCCTACAATAGTCTACTGTAGTCTACAATAGTCTACTGTAGTCTACAATAGTCTACTGTAGCCTACAATAGTCTACTGCAGCTTACAGTAGTCTACTGTAGCCTACAATAGTCTACTGTAGCCTACAGTAGCCTACTGTAGCTTACAGTAGTCTACTGTAGCCTACAGTAACCAGTCTACAGCCTTTTCTTTCTCCCAAAAATCGATCCTCAAATGTCGAATATGATCGGGAAAGTGTGAATGTGAGTTGTGTAGTATTTGGGTTATCTGATTGATCTGATGAAAAGAAAAAGGGAATGGATGAGATGAATGGGAGAATGGAGAATGGAGAATCGAGGGGAGAAGACCCCCGACCTCTGAGGATTGAGATGAACCGGGTAGATAGAGGAGGAGATGGGAGGAGAGGATGGGACTGTCCCCTCATCTCATCCAAACACTTCTGTCACATAACCGATCGCCACATAGCTCATAGATGAGAGAATCTTAGGAATTGGAAAGGGAGAGGTAATCGAAATAATTCTTTGACAGTTCGCTTAACTTTTTTCTTTTTAATAGTGTAATATACGAATGAAAGAGTGATTCTTAAACTATTTATTCTTTTAAAACTATTCTAATGTGAATCAGACAAAATAGTTCTTTCGGTTCATTTTGTGACACAAAGCCCGAGTGGCTTGTTGCATGGAGCGGTTGTGGGACAAGCTGAACAAGTGAAAGCCGGGTTAAAAAGCCGGTCGGGTTAAACAAGCCGGGTTAAAAAGAAGCAAAGGAATTGGCAAGAAAAGGTAGGAGGATTGAACGCTTGACCTTTTGCTTTCCGCTGCTTTGCTTTAACCACTGGACCTTAATTTGTCAAGAGAAAGAAGGAAAGAAAAAAGAAAGAATCAAAGCTCTGTTTTCTTACAATATCGTGTATGAAACCGGACGACCGAAAACTGGGAAATGATCCGTGACGAACCCGAACAAATGCATCAGCTCCGGGTCGACGTAGTGGAATGTGATGAGGAAATTCGACCAGCAAACGGCTTTCTGAAAGAGAAGTTGTAGAATAATAGAGTTTACTGAGAAAAGGTACAGGTAAACTCATGTAAAAACTTATTTTAGAACTCGTGAGACTTGGCAACAACGGTAATTTGGTCAAAAATTGGACAAGCTTTTGCAAAAAGCGGTGGTTTCCCCGAAGTATGTAAAAGTATAATTTGCCTAAATAAATGAATGTAAATCCAAATTGGAAAATCCCTCGTTTCGGTGACGTTGTCCCCAATCGAGTGGGAAAATCGATGAATTCATTAAATTCAAGTGAAAGTTTTTAAAAAAATCAAAATTTCTAGAATTCTTCAATAGCTTCAAGCTTCAAATAGCTTCAAATATTCAAAATAGCTTCAAGAACAATCTCAAGAGCTGACATTGACTGTCTTCTTCAAACATAAATGCTAATTTTTCTGCAAATTTTGTGCTTTTCCAAACTAGAATAAAGTTTTGCTGAATTTTGAATTTCTTGGTGTTTTCTAAACAATTCTAAATTTGAGCCAAAACTGATAACCGCAAAATTCAACCGCAAAGTTAACTAATTTTAAGTTCTTTGAGACAACCAAAAGATTTTAAGATCATCGCTAAAATTCTACGTTTGGTGCTCTTTGGCCCCTTCACAAATCACAAAAATTTCTGTATCTAATGATGAAAAGAAAACTTTTGAATCCTCCTTTCTTTTTCGTTCTGAAAATTTGGATATAAGCTTGATTTTTGATTCTCTACAACTTTTCCATTGACACCAAAATGGGTTTCTTTTGAAGAAAGTGCTCAAACTGTCACATATGACAATAGCCCGCAGTTTTCAATTCACCAACCCAATAGATTAAGATTAGCCTTGATTTGCGGAGAAGTCAATGTCGAATTTGAAGATTCGGAAACGGCCAGAAGAGATTGGACATGAGAGAGGGAAGGGGGTTGCGTAAAAGCCCTGCGCCAGACGACGAGCGATTACGCGGCCGCACAAAGAACACGTAGAACACACAAATTTTAAGCGAAACTACTAAGTGTATCTTTTTGAAAATTTGGATATAAGCCTACTTTTTGATTCTCTACAACTTTTCCATTGACACCAAAATGGGTTTCTTTTGAAGAAAGTGCTCAAACTGTCACATATGACAATAGCCCGCAGTTTTCAATTCCCCAACCCAATAGAATAAAGTTTTGCTGAATTTCTTGGTGTTTTCTAAACAATTCTAAATTTGAGCCAAAACTGAAAACATCAAAATTCATGTATGACTCGAAAAGTTAACTAATTTGAAGTTCTTTGAGACAACCAAAAGATTTTAAGATCACCGCTAAAATTCTACGTTTGATGCTCTTTGACCCCTTCACAAATCACAAAAATTTCTGTATCTAATGATGAAAAGAAAATTTTTGAATTCTCCTTTCCTTTTCCCGTTTCTGTTATCAGCGCTTGTGCTTTCCTCAAAACTTGCCAACTGTTTACTCGTCTCTTCCCAGAAATTGATTACTTACTACACAAGAAATCCTTCGAAAATCACTAAAATGATCTTAAAACCTATTCTTGTCGCTATTCTAGGCTATTTAAGTTATTGTTTTCTCTCAGGATCAAAGAATTTACCAGTAATTGATGTAAATGGAACGTTTGATCGAAAATACGAGCTGGTTGCTGAGGATTTTAGGTGAAATTTTTATAGAAAATCGATGAGTTCGGGGGTGGGGATGAGTGTCGCCTATTCAGCCACGAAATTGATCGGAGCTTTAGCTTTTGCCACATTAGCATCATGGAAACAAGTCGATTACAATGATAAAGTCGTTTTTTAAACAAAATCTTTTAAAAAAATCAAATTCAGGTTAATGCGACCTTTTTTTTGCGCTACTGGACATTTGCGCACCTTTTTTTTGCTGGAAAAGGCCTTAGGAAAGGTCATAGAGCTTCAAAAATGTTCTCATGGAAGGGAATCGTATGCGTAGATTCCGAATTTCGACAAATCAGACCTCGCTGACACGTCAAATTTGGGCTAAAAGGCAAAAACTACGCAACTTAACGCTTTTCCGCAGTTTTTGCCTTTTAGCCCAAATTTGACGTGTCAGCAAGGTCTGATTTGTCGAAATTCGGAATCTACGCATACGATTCTCTTCTATGAAAACCTTTTTAAAGCTCTACGACCTTTCCTAAGGCGTTTTCCAGCAAAAAAAAGGTGCGCAAATGTCCAGGTGCGCAAAAAAAAGGTAGCATTTGTCCCACCCCATGAATTCATTAAATTCAAGTTAAATTATTAAAAATTTCTAGAAAATTGCTTCAAGAACAATCTCAGGGGCTGACATTGGCCGTTTTGCACAAAGGAGAACTTGTCATCAATTTATGGGGTGGAAAGGCGGATGTGTGAGTTTTTAAAGACAAAAATTGCAGGTGGCTAACAGGAAAATCTCCGAAATTGTTCCAAATTAATGAAATTATTACTCTAAAATATTATTTGATGTCTTTATTCGAAAAGTTTCAACATTTCTAGAGTTGCCGGCCGAAATTGGACAGAAAACACGATGAGTGTCGCCTATTCAGCCACGAAATTGATCGGAGCTTTAGCTTTTGCCACATTAGCATCAAGGAAACAAGTCGATTACAATGATAAAGTCGTTTTTTAAACAAAATCTTTTAAAAAAATCAAATTCAGGTCACAAAATATTGGCCTGAATTTGGAAAACATGAAAAAGATGTGTTAACAATTGACGATATTCTCAATCATAAGTCTGGTCTTATCAAATTTTCAAGAGATTTCACCTTGAATGAAGCAAAAGACGAGAGATTTATGTCAAAATTGATTGAAGAGGTGAGAAATGCATTTGAATTTATTGATATTTATTGGTTACACAATCGATTTAGAGCGATAAGAGTAAGTCTTATGTTTGAGTTGATGGCTAGCATAGAGTTGTAGAGCTCAGTGACAATGAGAGCTAGGGACTAGTCATTCATTAACAATGAGAGCTAATCATTAGTCATTCATTAACAATAAGAGCTAATCATTAGTCATTCATTAACTAAATGAAGTCAATAATGAAGTTAGGAATGAGTTTACAAAGCTATTAAAATGTAAACAATGATTTGAAAAAAGTTTAGGTGTCTATTAAGCTGTCCAGAAAGTCTTTTCCTTTTCCTTCGTTCCTTTTCATAATTCCTTTTGAAGAAACAACAAATTCATCAATTAATCTATGGATTGCTCTAAATAAAAAAGTGTTTATTGTTGGTCAATTTCCCATCTCTTTAAGTTATCTATTGACACGAAGATAGATTTCCTTGGCTAAAGTGTCTAAACCGTATCATCGAGCCGTTACCCTTTTTGACTACCCGACTTCATGCTCCCAAAAAAGCCAGGCATAAGACATTTTAAAACCCGTTTTAATGTTATTTTGCGAAAAAATAATTGGCCTTTTTAATGAAACAAACCGTAGTTAAATTGGTGCATTTGTTGGCTTTAAACGGAAGTACGAAAACGAAAGAAAAGACTTTCTGAACAGCCTAATACTTGCTAGGAATTTTGCTCTTTTCTTTTCATACTTTTTTCCAAGATGAATTATATTAGGTTGTCCAGAAAGTCTTTTCGTTCCTTTTCAATAATGAAGTCAGGAATGAGTTTACAAAGCTATTAAAATGTAAACAATGATTTGCAAAAAAGTTTAGGTGTCTATTAAGCTGCCCAGAAAGTCTTTTCTTTCCTTTTCGTACTTCATTTTGAAAAAAACAACAAATTCATCAATTAATCCATAGATTGCTCTAAATAAAAAGTGTTCATTCTTCAATTTCCCATCTCTTTAAGTCAATTTTGGTTCACTTTCAAGCAAATTCAACATGTTTTTCGTAAAAAATCTATAAAAACCTTTACGAAGAAAGTTGGCTGAATCAATTTCTCTGAAAATTTAGCTATATACTAAACTTTTTGTGCTCTATCTTTTATCTATTGACTCGAAGATAGGTTTCCTTAACTAAAGTGTCTAAACCGTATCATCATTTTGACTACCCGACTTACCGCTCTCAAAAAACATCCAGACATAAGACACTTTTAATAGAGAACAATTGATTCGTCTCATTCCAGAAATTTCGCACAATTGTTGTCGTTTTAAAGCAACAACCGGGTTCTCGATCCTAGAAATAGAGTGGGGAGTGGGACAAATGCGACCTTTTTTTTGTGCACCTTTTTTCCCCCTTGCCCTTAGCCCCCGTTTTAAGCTCTAAAAGCTAATATTACCAATTTCGATTCCAAAGTTGTTTTCTAGGTAATTTTAGGGCGTAGAATCGAAATTTTGACATATCAGAGCTTGTGGAAACAAACGGACCGAGTTATACAAAGAGAAAAATCGACAATTTTCTGTAATTTGATGTTTTGTCTTTCAAATTGGTTCCACAAGCTCTGATATGTCAAAATTTCGATTCTACGCCCTAAAATTACCTAGAAATCAACTTTTGGAATAGAAATTGGTTAATTTTTTTAGGCTTTTTAAACGCGGCAGGTGCGCAAATGTCCGGGTGCCCAAAAAAAGGTCCATAGAGTTCCACTCCCATAGAGTGTGCTCCTCACGAGTAATGCGTTTTTTAAAACGCACACTTAGGAAAAATTACCGTACTTTTAGCGAAAATTATTGCAAAAAATTGGCGCAAAAAAACACGAGCGACGACTTATATAAAAGTAAGAAAGCAACTACAAATGAATCCGATTCCTATACCTCGAGTACCGTGAAAATTGATCCACTCTTCCAGGCAGATAGTTCAAATTTGACACAGATTTTCTTTACGTTTTCACACTAGAGTGTACTAAGTAAATTGTGGGTTTTCTATTACCGAATTTCATAAGGAACATTTTAAGACCAACCACAAGTTGATCGGTCAATTGGAAGTTGAGAAGATGAAGGAGAAGAGAAAGAGTCGTGAAATTCCGACTTATATAAGACTCTTTTTAAAGATATTCAGCCGTTTAACTGATTTGGTGGCAAATTCCCTTCACATGCAAAGATATCCAATTTGCTCGACGTGTAAAGAGGATTACTCGTAGTTGCTCGACCAAAAGCGTCGATTAATCGAGTAAAAATGACTCATGCGGATTTTACTCGAGTAATTACTTGCTCGCGATGAACCCACTCTAATTTTTAAACCCGTTTTAATGTTATTTTGCGGAAAAATAATTGGCCTTTCTAATAAATAAACCGTCGTTCATTTGTTGTTCATTTGGTGCATTTGTTGGTGTTAAACGGAAGTACAAAAAGAAATGAAAAGATTTTTTGGACTAGCCTGGTTTGGTTAGGCTTACAAACTCGAACTTTTAATTGACTCGTGCATAAACTACTGGACAATGAAATATCATATTTGAAAAACGATCGTCACTTTCGCGCGTCTGTAACTCCCTTGTCTTTACCGTATTTCTAAATATTAACATATACCATTGTGTAGCCCTTGAAAAGAGCTTTCAGAAAATGTATAACACTAATAGTTTAAACTCAAAGACAAGGAAGTTACAGACGCGCGAAAGTGACGATCGTTTTTCAAATATCATATTTCATTGCCCAGTAATGTAATTTAGCAATTTTCCAGGTCCCCTCAGGATCACGAAAAGCCCTAATGAATCTGTAGTTCAAATACTGTAGCTCCTTATCAATCCAACTTCAGAGTGTCCCCATGTGGGCCCCGGGCGAACGAATCGGTTATCACGCCTTGACCTACGGTTTTCTCCTTGATCAACTCTTTCAACGAATCCACCCCAAGAAACAAACAATTCAAGAATTTTATGAAAAAGAGATCAGATCAAAAGTTCCAAGTTTGAAATAAGGAAAAGCCCAAGTTTTTCAAGTTTTAGATGGTGATTTCTACTTGGGTGTCCGAAAGGAAGAAGCTCACCGAATCGCTCGAATCACTCTAGACAGCCTGTGGCAAACTATGAAAAATCATTGGGATCACTTCGCAGTGTAGACTTTTTCGAATAATGGTTTATTTTCACTATTCCAGAACTTGGCCCGTTTTCTATGCGTATTTCAAGAATGGTGGACTGGCGCTCGTTTCAGGGAACAGTCCAAGCTTTCTCTCGGTGTCGAGGAGAGTAAGTTGGGAGACTTTTCTTAGAAACTATTCCATAATATTAAATATTTTGATGTGTAAGTACATTAACTTGAAAACTGACTGATTGAGTTCACCTCAAAACGACTTCAAAGCTTGCTAAGCGTCGAAATTTCCACCAAAGCTTTCCAAAGCTTGCGTTCAAGTAAGAAAGTTTAGAGTTAGACAAGTAAAACTTTCAACAATAGCCTAAACAACTGTAAAGTTCAGCTTTAAGTAATTGAATAGTTTAAAACGTTTCCAATATCGACAAATCGAATTCGATTCCAATTCGATTCCAATACAGGACATCATTCCATACAATGACATCGATGTCCTCCAATTTCCATCAACGAGTGCCCTTGGAGTGGGAACTGCGGCTGGTTTTACTCGGGTTGTGAGACAATTTTGGATAGGTAAAATCAAATTCTTATATTTCTTAAAGAAAAAAAATCTCTTCAGGTGGTGTGATTTCAGAAGAAATTTGGAGAGATTTGGAAAAACCAGCAATATTTGATGAAGAAGATTTCGTGCTCGGGCTTCGACGATGGATGAAACACGGGCTTTTCTATAGGAAGATTGAAAAAGCTGATAGGGTGAGAGAAGCTGTTGAACTAGATTCTGTAATACAACTGGTAATCTAGCTTTGAACGCTTTCACTTAGTGGTCAATCTTTGTTTGGATAAAGCTGCTTTTCTAGTAGCACAAAAACTGATGCTTATTGATTGATATGTTTCAGTTCACGATCAACTTCCCCGGAAACGGTGGTCAATACGTGGATGTGGATCAAAAAAGGGATTTGATCATCGTTTTGATGCGAAATGGATTAAGAGGAGGATTGGGCGATCCGGCATTTGATGGAATCCGAAGGAAAATTATTGAAATTGCTGATGAAGATTAGCGTTTTTCAAAGTGAATTTTCGATTTTTCAATAAAATGTTTCGTTTTTCTGGGAAATCCGGGTCTTTTCATTGTGAAAAGCTATCATATTTCTCTGTTTTTAGCGTCACTTTGTCCAAATCATTGAGATCAATTATTGGGTTGGTGAATTAAAAACTGCGGGACTTTGAACTAAAATTTATTCAACATAAAACCATAAATTCATTCGAAATAATTTCCATTATTATTGACGACCTGCTCATTTTACAGGCAATTTGAGGATTCCTCTTCGTTAGTAGGATTTTGGTTTTGAATCGAAAAGCTTTCAAAGCCAATTTTTGACTGCTTCTTCCGAATCAAAGTGTTTTCCCGCCAGCTCATTACTCATGATCCGGAATAAATAGTAATCAAGAGGGGCGAGGTCCGAACTGTCTGGGGAATGCGCCAAAAGTTCCCAAGCAAGGCTATTTATTTTAGAGCGAGTCAGTTTTGCAATATGAGGGCGCGCGTTGACGTGGATGAGAACGATCTTTGACTTGGAGGGCCATAGAGCTCATAGCTAGAGCACAATTAAACGCTAGTTTTCATTCGAATAGAGCTAATTTTGACTAAGTTTTGTGATTTCTTATTGATTGTGATTAAATAATATCAAATTTAAACTAATTAAATGTTAAACTGAAAGCTGTTTACGGCATTTTCTTTAAATATTGGGTTGGTGAATTGAAAACTGCGGGACTTTGAACTAAAATTTATTCAACATAAAACCATGAATTCATTCCAAATAATTTCCATTATTATTGACGACTTCTGCCCATTTTACAGGCAATTTGTGGATTCCTCTTTCGTGGTAGGATTTTGGTTTGTGTGTGAGACAAGTGTGAGACCCAAAAATGGAGGACTGGAGATGCCCCAGTTTGAGCACTTTCTGCAAAAGAAACCCATTTTGGTGTCTATAGAAAAGAAAAATAGAAAGGTTGTAGAGAATCAAAAATGAGGCTTATATCCAAATTTCCAAAAAAATACACTTAGTAGTTTCGCTTAAAATGCAAGTTTTGTGAAAATTCGTAAATTTGGAATTTCTTCAAAACCAGTTTTTGGATCGTTTTGAAAATTTGGATATAAGCTTGATTTTTGATTCTCTACAACTTTTCCATTGACACCAAAATGGGTTTCTTTTGAAGAAAGTGCTCAAACTGTCACATATGACAATAGCTCGCAGTTTTCAATTCACCAATCCAATAGATTGAGATTAGCCTTGAGGAGAAGTCAATGTCCAATTTGAGGATTCGGAGCCGGCCAGATTGGTTTGGTAAAGCGAGAGGGAAGGGGGTTATGTAAAAGCCCTGCGCCAGACGACGAGCGATTACGCACAATGTGCTCTTTGTCCACAGAACACACAAATTTTAAGCGAAACTACTAAGTGTATCTTCTTGAAAATTTGGATATAAGCTTGATTTTTGATTCTCTACAACTTTTCCATTGACACCAAAATGGGTTTCTTTTGAAGAAAGTGCTCAAACTGTCACATATGACAATAGCTCGCAGTTTCTAATTCACCAACCCAATATTATCCAAATTTGGCTGCATTTTTCCTACAAGTCCAGCTGGATACAGCCGGTCAAAAATTTCCCTATTCTTTGAGAAAAAAAACTGGAAACAGATAGATATAGATAAAAGATTTAAAGTAGATTTGAATCTTTTCTTTTTAATTCATCCGATAGTTCTTATATTGTTTTAAATTTTTTTATATTCCGATAGTTTTCATGTAATTGAACAGAGTCCAATTTCTTTATTGTTCATACGCTTAAATCAAATACAAATACAAGAATTTAAACAAATTCATTAAACCTTTTACCCATTAAACCAAAAAGTAAAAAGCTGAATGAAGAAAAAGTTTTTATTTTTCTTTAATTCCATGCCGCAAAATTGAATCGCTTTTCGTGTTCTAAAGTCATACACATTGCACTTTTTTGAGTCGACAACTCTGGGAATTGATTTTTTAAGTATTTGAGACTTCGTTTTGAGAAAAAACTAGTTTGATTGTTTGATTTAGCTAGCGTTGCTGAGCCTAAATTCGAGAATCTTTCGTTTTGCTTGCTTGCTGAGCAAGCAAAACGAAGCAATGCTTTGCTTGGAGCCAATGCTTTGCTTGGAGCAATGCTTTGCCTAGGAGCAATGCTTTGCTTGGAGCCAATGCTTTGCTTGGAGCCAATGCTTTGCTTGGAGCAATGCTTTGCTTGGAGCAATGCTTTGCTTCAATCTTCAAATCTCACTTTTACATATGCTATCAGAAGTTGTGTATTCAAGCTGTGCTTTTGATCTTCAATTTTTCATTCTCCAAAGTACAGTTCCCGGACTGTGGTTTGCGGAAGCTAAAATTATGGTGTAAGAGAGTCAAAAATGCTTGCAAAAGGGTCATTTTAAAGGGAATTTTGTGAGGTTTTACCCAAAAATAGATATTAAAACAAAAATTTCCGATATGTCTGACATTTAAAAAAAACAAGAGAAATTTCCAAAAATTCATTCCGTTTCCATCAACTCTTCAAACTCTAACGAATCAAAATTTCAGAAAAACAATAAGTTTCGCATGTTTGCAACATTTTTTCCCCAATTAATCGTGAGAATTTCCCCCGACAAATCAAAATTTATATTGGGTGAGCATTTGGTACCGTTTAGGTTTATATTAAGTGAGCATTCAGTACCGTTTAGGTTTATATTAGGTGAGCATGGGCTAACGTTTAGGTTTATATTGGATGAGCATTCGCTACCGTTTAGGTTTATATTAGGTGAGCATGGGCAACTTTTTATGGCAACTTTGTTTGGTGAGCATTCGCTACCGTTTAGGTTTATATTAGGTGAGCATGGGCTAACGTTTAGGTTTATATTGGATGAGCATTCGCTACCGTTTAGGTTTATATTAGGTTGATGCAAAAGTCTTTTTCATTTTTTTCGTACTTCTTTTGAAAAATAACAAAGTCATCAATTAACCTATGGTTTGCTCTAAATGAAAAGTGTTTATTGTTGAATTTCCCATCTTTTTAAGTCAATTTGGGTTCACTTTCAAGCAAATTCGAGAGTGAAAACGGGTTTTTCATAAAAATCTATAAAAACCTCTATAAAGAAATTGGCTGAATCAATTTCTCTGAAAATCTGAAAAAATATCTAACTTTTTGTGCTCTATCTTTTATTTATTAACATCAAGATTGGTTTCCTTAGCTAAAGCGTCTAAAATGCATCATCGAGCCGTCGCCTTTTTTGACTACCCGACTTCAGGCTCTCAAAAAAATCTAGACATAAGACATTTTAAACTCGTTTTAATGTCATTTTGCAGAAAAATAATTGGCCTTTCGAATGCAATAAACCGTTGTTCAATTGGTGCATTTGTTACTTTTTAACGGAAGTACGAAAAAAATGAAAAAGACTTTTGCATCAACCTAATATTTGGTGAGCATTCAGTATCGTTTAGGTTTATATTTGGTGAGCATGGGCTAACGTTTAGGTTTATATTTGATGAGCATTCGCTACCGTTTAGGTTTATATTTGGTGAGCTATCGCTACCGTTTAGGTTTATATTAGGTGAGCATTCAGTATCGTTTAGGTTTATATTTGGTGACAAAAGACAAAAGATCACGTTTTTTCAAATTTCTACAAGAAAAACTGATAGTAGTTTTTCCAAAACTTTCATCTGTAAATACTTTTGTTTTAATTGCAGTTAAATTCGAATGTTTTTTGTTTTCAAATGTAAACTGGAACTGAAGAATGCCTAGTTGAAGGGGTAGATTGTAGATGGGCTGAAAATTCCTCAGCTTGGTCAAATCGGAAAGAAACAGTCGCCCCGGCAACAACTTCTCTCTTTCGATGCTTGAAATGGTTGAGGGAAATTGAAAAAGAGGAAAAGTGATCGTCACTCTCTCATTTTTCCCCCCTCATTTTCCTTTTTCTTTGATAGGTCTTCCTTTATCTTCTGATATCCAGTAAATGAGTCTTGTTTGATCCAAACTACCCATTTTTTATTAAGTGCTTTGGAATTGTTGATATTGCTTTCTGATTCACATTCTTTAATTTTGAAGAGGTTCGCGAATTGCTTACAATTAGATAGATTTGCCAAGATTCTAGGCTCACTAGGGAACAGGTTTCACAAGCGCGAATCCGAACCAAAGCTATATGACTGACCCAAGTTGGATACGGGCTAAACGATGGTGTTTTTAGTTTTTGCCTAAATGATCTAGATTTAAGTAAAAGCACATTTGAAATTTGATAAGCAACCTGAACAACTTATGAGTTTGTAAGGACTATTGTCGCTCGCTAAAGAAGTGACTCGTTGGTGCAGTGCCGCTGTCTCCCGCTGTCTTTTTGGCATCTGAGTTCGCTTCTCTTTCAATCAATTTCTTTGCATAAGTCAGCTTTTGTTTGGATTCGCGCTTGCGAAATTTGACCTTTCCTTATTTAGTGCCAATTTTGAGATGAAAATTCCTTTTTCTAGAATAGCCGTTGTTTTCGATTAATCACTGACGTCTCATTGAACAACAGAGATTTTCGGCTTTCATTTTGCTTTATTTTAGTAAAATACTTGACTTTTCTTACTTGACTACTCTGGGAAAGTATTACAAATTAGATAAGAATGAGATAAATATCAAAAATGAATGAATAAAAATGCTTTATTCATTTTGGCTTTACGGGTTTCTTCTGCTGTTTTTGATCTTTCGCTTTTTTCATGGCTTCTTTGTCTAGATAATGACTGTTTTTATCATATTTTATCATATTTTATTATATTTTATCATATTTTATCTTATTTATTCTTCTTTTTCATATTCAATTGCATTTTCAGATGTTTTTTTTTTGGTTTTAACCTCATTCATTCATTTATTCTGTAGTATTTGTGTGCCTCTAAATTTCCCATTGAATTTTTGCAGCAAAATTAGGTCGTTTTCAAATCTTTTACACGAATTCCAGGCGAATTCCACGCAATTCCAGGCTTTAATACTCAATTTATCAATTTTGATTAATGCTATTTTATTA